AGAACCACAAGGGTTACTGTATTTTTTCTGAATATGCAACTCTCCCTTTTTTCACTGTGGATGATTTGGGAAGCGATTAGTCATTCACATATGCTGTGCCAATTCACGCAACTTGGTTCTGTACAATCCAGTCTAAATCAACAAACAGTATTTGGTATCAAACATTTTTCTTGCCCTGGTTGCTTCCCCCCTCCCCAACCATTAACTTATCTAAAATAGAGGCTGGTTCCGTTCTTTATTTGGGTTTCATCCTTACCCCTCTCCTCCGCTGAAACAGTACGTAGTGTATCTGATAAAAAAGTATTCACTTGGTCAGACGAAACACCTGTGTTAGCCTCCAAATTTGTTACTCCCCAGTTCTGTAAACAGTGACCAGCAACAAACACCAGAGCCTACTGAAGAACAAAAACCACAGGCTTCTGAGAAGAGTGAGCTATTAATAGCAGACAAATCCCTGTTATAGCCAGTAGTGATAATACCCTGATACTTCGGTTAACCGTTACAAGTCCAGCAGATGAAGACATCCTATTCTGCAGGCTCATCGGCATCCCTTTTCTTCCAAAAGCATGAGGAAACAAACCATGCATTTTAGGATACCGAGAGGCAAAAAGTTCTGCTTTGTTCTTTCAAGCGCTGGGTTTAAATGCTCAGCTCACCCAAGTGCCACATTTTGAAATGAAAGGTGAGGCATGAAATACTCCAGACAGCCTGGAGGGAGGTCACTCGTGTCAGAGCTCGCACCACCCTAAGAGAGTTTTACCACGCACACTGCCAGGACAATAGCGATAATGAGCACGGCAGAGAAAACAATCCCAGCTAGAACCTTGCTGATATCACAGAAGGATTTGTTTTCCTCCACGGAGATCATGCCGATGGAAGAGGCGCCCACGCTGATGGTGGATTTCAGTTCGGCCCCTGGGTCTTGCTTAGCCTCCACTGTCCACTGGGGGACATTGACCTTCATTTCCATCTCGTACATCATCTCTCCTACCTGGTTGATCTCGTTCTCGAGGTCTTTCAAGTCCACCACGTCTATGTTGTGCTCAGCCTCGTACTTCATGTTCTGGACGCTCATGGCCCTGGCGGCCACGCCGGACGTTCCCCCGCTCATACCTGTCTGGATCAGGTGCTTCTTGGGGACGTTCAGCGGGAACTCGTGTCCCAGCTCCAGGGCCCTCCTCATGTCGATCTCCAGGATCTCTAGGCACGTGGAGAAAATGACCCATAGCCTCTCGAACTCGGCTTTATCCTCTTTGCTCACGGTTTTGTCCTTCAGCACCGTGGTCAGCTTGTTCCTGTTGGCCACCGCCAGCTCCTGCGCTTTCTGCCGGGTTTTCTTGAGCTCCTCGCGCAGGTTCTGCGAGTCCGACGTGCCGCCGATGGTCAGCACCATGTGCCGGTAGCAGGCGGTCACCTTGTTGAGCGCGTCCAGCAGCGCCTTGCAC